TAGTTTTGTTAATGCTATAGCTTGGTTTTCAGAGGTTACTGTGACGAGACGGGAGCGGTCGGGTCGGCTACGAAGAGATTTTGCCTACTTTTTTTTGGAAACATTGTTGGAAGCAAAGGGTGTTGTCAGAGTAGGAAGCTGTGGAAGGGATCACGAAAATCGGTCCCATTTGGTTGGGCTAAATAGAGTATTCAAGATTGTTGTAGAGATAGGGGTAGTAGAAGGGCGGGGGCGTGTCGAAGAGGGAGGAGTGTTGAGGGAGGTAGTGTTATGGAGAGGTGGGCAATAAGGCTGTAAGGTATTACTAAGGGAGGATGTGATAGTTGATGTAGAAGGTTGTGGGGGTAGAGGTGTTGAGCATGATGGGAGTAGAAATGTCTCTAGGGGGTTGAGTGTTGACTACTGTACTCGTAGGCATTGAGGAGAGGGTAGTTGTTGCAGTGTTCGGAGCCGTGGTCAAAAGAGCCTGGGGTCAGGGAATCAGGAGGATTTGAATTGTTGGGGCTATTTGATAAAGGGGCAAACCTCATTGCCCTTAATAGAGGAGTTACGTCTTCATGATTGGCCATGGTAAGCCTGGATTATGTTGGGGATAAAAAGTCCACCCCTCAGGGTCCCCTTGAGGGGTAAGGGCTAGGAAACTAAATCAGGGGAATACCGTGCCCATGGCTCCCTCAGGCCATTCAGAACTGGCACAAAGTCAGCCTATCATCCTTTCAGCACGATTCTCACACCTTAGGAGGTGGATAGCAGAAGGTCTTGGTGAAGGGACAAACGAAAAAGTGGGAAGGGAAAAAAAAGACTATGCATAATTAGTTGAGTCGAGGGCTGAGTCCCAAGGTTGGGGAGTTCCCCATCATTGTGTCTCAGTCTCCGCCTCCTAAGCCCCCCCCACAACAACGGGCAAGGGATTGGGGGGCAAGTTGAAACAAACACGTATTTTCTAGTTTAGCTGATCGAATGCGACTCCTCAGAGAAACACCACGACTTACGGAATGGTAATGGCGAAAATTATGGTCAGATTTTGGTACAAGAAAAAAAGCATTCAGAATAATGGTTTTGCTTACAGCTCATTCTATATTGAAAAATATAATGAAGCATGCTATTTGTTTACGGAATCATTTTAATGTTTGGTTTAGGGAAAAAACGGTTCCTCTGTTCGATTAGCCGTTGCTAGATAGTGCAGCTACGAAAACCATTTAGAAAGGTAATTTAATACAACTGCTATACATATTCAAAAATTTCGTAGCATTTTTAAGTTTCAAGAAATGTGCAGCTATAGTTGATACTGTTGAAAGTAGGGAAATGCCGCGGTGAGGCGGCAAAATGCTAGGAAATCGCATTTGAAAAATATCCCAAAAGTCATTGATAGCTAATACATGTTTTGCTATCACTTGAGGAAATGGTTTAGTAAAAAACACTTGGTCATTTATGTTCTACCAATCACATTCTTAAAACCAAGGGTTTTCACAATTTATACAAATACTTTGTGGTAACTAAGTATAAATCTGCAACTGTACATGTTTCCAGCAATGACCTTGAATGCTGTTATCCATTTGTCAGTTCAACATTCCATAAACAGATTCCGACAAAGTTGAATCCACATGCTTGTACGTGCTTTTGACCAGTAAATAGGTGGCTCAGCGGAGGTTTCTGGGGTAGCAATTACAAATTACTGATGTGAACAGTATTACTATTATATTACTATTACTTGCGTCTGGCAGGATCGAAGTTTCGCTCTGGCAAATTGATGGTTTGCCTGCCAAATGTGCAAGCTAATGGCATGTCCGCCGATCAGGCCCGCTCGCCTTTAAGACTGATAATATTGTACATTTCCACTTTTAGTGTATGGTTAATAAACCTCAATAGTCACTGTGGTAAAATACTATGGTGAAAATGGTAAAAATCAGTAAATGATTAGGACATTGTTGTGTGAGAAACGTCGAGCACTATAGAATAGTATGGCAGTGAAAAGGGGTGAAGTAGAAGAGCAAATGGAATAAGGCCTGTTTAGTAACAGGGGGAAGGGCAATCGATGCATCTAAGGAAGAGATATTACACAAACCGTGCAAAAGAGCCATTATGAAGTAAGCAACTGGTAACAAGGGTAGAAATGGGTGTCGGAGGTGGTGAAGTACCAGGAAGAATGAAGATAATTATGAGGAAAAGGCTTTGGCAAAGGACACTTGTGACAATAGGGGTAAGGGGAACATGGAGATGGATGGATGCATGTCGGTAATTACTTTGAATATAGAGGGGATGGGAGTAGACTGGGTGGTTGAGAAGAGAGCATTTTATTGGATCATTTTTCAGAAGTTTTTGATTTCCTAGTGTTTCTGGAAGCAAGTTGAGTGGGAGAGGTCTGAGAAACAGAGACATGTCTGAGGAGCATAGGGAGAGGTATGTTTAGGATAAAATGTGGTAGAAAGTAGGATGGAACAGATTACCAGGTGTGATAGCTAAAATGGGAGTAGGCGTCAGGGCAGTGGTGATTTGAATACTTTAGATTTAGAGTGGGGGGGAAAAAATGTAGGGGGGGGGGATAGTAAGTGTTAGGGGGGTGATACCGAGACTTCATGGGAAGAAAAAAGTGAAACTTTGGACAAGTAGCAAAATAGACCATGTCTGATGAAGTCAAGACAAGCTAATCTATATGACCTTGTTCAAAATCTGCCACGCCATTACCCAACATCGGCTATAAACGATGGAAAACAGAGCTCATTAGTTCTGGCTCCTTCCAAACTACATTTAAAAAATTCTTGTCCTTTACATTCATCCTCCTTCAAGCAGATATTCCTCAAACAAAAGAAAAAAAAAAACTACAGAAAAGTTACCGAAGAGCTCTAAACAAACCTTTATCATATTCGGGAAATCAGAAACAGACTTGAGCAATTTCTTTATTATTACGCCATGAAGAACGACTGGGCGCAGTGCCAAAGGATTAACATTTACACCTGATCTGTCCTAACCGTACTTCCAGTTTTGGAGGCTTGTTGAGTTTCGGGGCGCAACAGTAGCGCCTGCTTCCGAAGATAACATAGTGTCTTGCGCGGTAACAAATACTTTTCTGTGGATTGTACGTGCCTAATGGAGGGCATGCATCAGGCTTAACGTTCCTGGTAAAAGAAAATCAAATTATCAATGTGGTTAACCTAAATTCTCTCAATGCAACAATTGTTTGCAAACAATCCTATCTCTGGAAAGGATACCTGGCAATTCACCTTTATCTCTGAAGTACACCGATTCACCAGGTCTCTTAATCTAGTCTTATGTTCATTTACACAATGTATTTTAAAACCTATGCACAATACTTGATTAAATTTACAATCTTCAGCCCTTTTTCTCCAAGATAATACCTGACAAATCAGTACAACTGCATACAGGGCAAGTTCCCCCTCCCCCCCTAAGTGGATGGAGTAGAGTTCAATCTACCTACCAAGACCAATAACAAGGCCTGGAATATTCCTGCGTCGGATAAGAGGTTTCGAGGTCGCTGACCCTTTCTTTCATCTCGACTGGCATTGCTTTCCAGAGGTGGTGTATGTTTGCACACATGGTGTTTCCAAGGGGGGTTGGCAATGTCTTCTTCATCAAGTCATCGACTGTTGGTGCTCCAAACTCAGGCTGCCAGGTATAGAAATTAAACTTTGGGAAGGGCTTAAAGCTGTATCAATGAACTATGATAGGTGAACAATATACTGCTCGCCATTTCTTCATTTCCTAGCCATTATATAGATTATACATAGAGGGATAGGGAACAAATGAGTAAGGCATTCCTGTCTGGATAGGAATGCCCTCATAACTCACTATTATGTACTATTTCCCTGGGAGTAAGTTCACCTAAACCTGAAAAACTGACAACCATGTTAACATGGTAATTCTACTAGTCTTGAAGATAATGGAGGGAAATGTGATTGTTAATGGCAAAATAAATCTAAGGTCATGTACACTATGGGAATTTATAGCAAAGGGTAGTGAAGAGTGGAAGTTCGTGGTTAGTTGCTAAAGCTTGGCAAAGGAATTGACGAGTGAATGGGCTGAGGTCGAATTAGGGAAAGGGGTTAGATCAAGTGAAGGATATGTATGCGTCTGAAGGAGAACATGTCAAACAAGTATGTCTGATAGGTTGGGAGATTGGTGAAGGGAGGATAGGTGGGGGAAAGTAGAGGTAAAGGCTGCATCAAAGCATGGGCAGAATATAGTGTGCAACCGAAAGAGGGACATTACATAGGTAACATAGGAGTGGATCAGAGAGTGACATCAAAAAGGAATGTTAGATGGGTGTGCCAATACATAAGAGGGCGAGAGCCATCTCCCAACGTCTGTTTCGATTAAATGGAGCTAACCAGGAGATTGATAGTTTTACAATATGAAATTTATTAGTGCAACTTGCAACTTGATCAGAAAGATTGCCATCGGGTATATAGGAAGGTGGGCATAATCCGTGGCGGAAATACGTGAGAAACGGCTTTGATGGGATGTGTACATAGCGGCGGAGTGTGCCAGAGACAGGACAAGTAGAACAGAAATGAAGAAATAATTAGTCTAAAAATAGAGAGGAAGAAGGGAGCGAGCATGAGTGTTTTAAGGCAAAAATAAGTATGTGCGGTTTTGTAGTAAAAGACACTAGATTCAGGAGGGAGGGGGTATTTGAAAAAGCTAGTTGAGAAGGCAACTGCAAAACCAGCACCAGGTGGATTTGGAGCCATCATTTTAAATCAGTGTAAACATGAATACTGGGGGAATGAATGGAGACATGGTCAAGGAAATGGATGAAGACAGCAGGAGGAATATTTGATTTTGGTGGGTCAGGGGAAAAAGGCACAAATACGGGGGAAAGGTACAAACCACGGAGGGACAGAATGGACAGAACAGAAAAGGTCGGGGATAGGGAAAAGGGGAATAAGAGGAGGGTATACATGCGAATGGAGAAGAGTAGGTAAAAATGGAGAAGAAACAAAAGGTAGGAAGTAGTGATCGTGGGATAGTTTAATGAGGGAAAGTTGGTGGAATTGAGCATAGCATCAAAGAGAAGGGTACGACGTCGAGATATTCAGTGTGCAGGTTCTCAACTGGAGAGGAGCAGAAGGCAACTAGGGATAAGCGAAGACCATAGTGATGGATTGTATCAAGATGTACAAGGAGAGAGGTAGAGGCAGAGTAGATATGACATCTATAAATGAGAGTGGAGATGATCACAGTAACGAAAATGGAGAGTTGCGATCTGAGCCCCTGGATACATTGGACAGTTTGGAAGATTCGGAGATGGCGGCGAGCTTTTTCTTTAAAGTAAAATGTAAGACAGTTTAGAGTAAAAAATAACGCCTAGGAATATGCCAGAGGAACAGTATTGGAGTGGAGTGCCATATAAGAAGAGTGGAAGTTGGGGACCTACACGTGCACGAGAGAAAAGGATGGAGAAAGACTTGGAAATATAAAGGTGGAAGCTATGGTTAGCCCAGGAAGATACTGATGATATTGCAGAGAAATTGGTGGAGCTTTGGCATGGACGTGCCACAGGCAATGATGATTAAATCATTAACAGTGATGACCGAACTCATTGTCTCAGTTCTAACACCAGGTCATTAAATAAGGAGGAACATGTGTGTATTGAGTACACTACCTTGTGGGACACCTTCGAACCGACGAAAGGATGTGGAAGAGGCATTTTTGACCATTCGTTGTAGTAGAGCAATAGGGCAATAATCTTGAGGGAGAGTACTCGATTTATTGGGCTTCAGGAAGGGAGGACAAGAGCTGCTCGCCAATGAGAAGATAGATTTCCTGACGTCCATATCTGGTTGAAAATTGTTAATAGGAAGGACACAGGAAGATGGAATCCTTCATTAGTTGTGACAACTGTAAAACAGTACTGAGTTCAGAAGAATTATTAGGACTCGGCGGTGGATAGGGTGAAGATAATGGGTGTGTTCCCTGATGGTCTTAATAGAAGAGAAGTGTTGAGGAAGGCGAGAACCACTACTGATATGGCTGAAATAGTCACCCAGTTCATTAGTGACTAGATAGATGTAATTGAAATTTCGCCAGCTATTTGTTTTACTATTCCGGATTGTACGACGAAGACAGGCAGATGCTCTTTTAAAGGAGATTAGGGGTGCCTCATTTGTAGCGGGTAACAGGCTGCACGTTTTAAGCAAAGAACTTTAGTGCAATTGGAATTCCACCATGGAACACATTTGGAGGTACAAGGTCTTGAGGTTCAATGAACATCTGTATAGGCAGCTCTTAGGACTGCAGTTGTGAAACATTGTATCATATCTGAAATGGATGAGAGGGAGGATGGAGGGATATGAATAGCAGTGTGTGAAGTGAAAGTATGCCAGTCAGCTCTATCAAAGCACCAGTATGGGGAGTTATGAAGTGGTACATATGAAGTATGAGAAAGGAGAACTGGAAATTGGTCACTATAGGAAAAGTGGTCTAGAACTCACCAATGGAAATCTAAATGAAGAGGAGTATAATGAAGACAATGCATGAAAAAATTGTGGGTACGTCAAAGGGTGTGGGGGCGATCTGAATTAAGAATAAGGTCAGTTGTGGAGTTTGTAATAGAATCGCCCCCGAGTGTGACGACAGTTAAAATTATCAACTATGAAGAAAGGTGGTTGAAGTTGGGAAATTAGATTTTCAAAGGCAACAAAGTTAATGGGGTGGGAAGGGGAGTAGACTGAAATCACTGATCCAGCAGCAAAGAAAGATGCGATTAACTGTGCAAGGGACAGGGATTTTAAAGGGAGGCATGACAAAGCACTTTCTGATTGATAAGTATAGATGAGAAAGGGTGAGGTAGACGCAATGGTAATTGAGAATTGGTATAGGAGGATGTGTAAGAAGGGATGGGAGAAGACTGGTGTCTGAAGAGTAGAGGCAAAGGTAGGTCGAGGTATGTGGTAGAAAGGGTGGAATGTTTAGTGTCTGCTGCTGGTAGTACGGAGAGGAAGAGGGGAAGGTGTTGGGGCTGCAATAGAGATTGGGGGGTCTGGATTTAGAATGGTAAAAGAATTTGACTAGGGAAGGTAGGATGTAGAAGAGGGGAAGCAAGATGGTGGAGGGAAGTTTATATGATCGGACATGGATGGATTCTCCTCCAATGTAAATATTAAAGGGAAGGTCGTGTCTATGGAAAGTAATTTTAGCAATATTAGTGGGGTTCTTATGATGACCTCTGGGAGGAATGGAGTAGCATTGTACTGATATCATAGGCAGGCAAGTAAATCTTACCTTCAGGGTATTTTTAAGCATAACTAAAAATAAACGTGCGAAACTTGTTACGTACAACATACGACTTGCAAGAAAACTGACAACTCCGGGAGAGAGGTTCGCTGTAATTTTAACGCAGTCCCAAATATTGAACCAAATACTGAACGACTATATTTCATATTGTGCCTTTTCTGTGATATACTCATTACAAGTGCACAGGAGTAACATGTAGAGATTAGAGATTTACACATCGACATAACCTGTACGTCAGGCAATCTCAGAAGTTTAAAAGTACAAAACACAACCGATACATTTTGTAAACTCATTAATTGGCCTAGTTTGGGGTAGCTCACGGATAGCCATTTCCCCTTGCTTGTGCAGAATAAAGCGAACAGCTTCAATGCGAAAAATCCCTGCAACAGTATCAATTTACAATCTTGTTCAAAATACGAAAGGGATGTTCTATAACTACCATCTGAAGGGATACAGAAAACGTTTGAAATTTTACAACCAAAATATGCCAATTAACATAACCAGGTCGTCATGTGGCTCCCTGGACAAAAGGGAAGCGGACCCAGCAAGCGGAAACAACCTTTCTCCCTTGGTACACATTGCAAATTACCGGTACTTTCTACAAGACATTTGCTGTTTGAAAACCAAATTTACACCTTCGTTTCTATCTGGTAATCATTTTACACTAATACTTCATGGGCTGCTATCACACCGTGACTAGTTTTGTATTTTAGCATAGCCACCGAACTATAATGGTAAAGGTTAAAACAAATGTGCTAGACATCAAAGCTCATAAAGCACTATGGTAAAGTATTGAGGCGAAAAGGGTAAAATTGAGTTACCGATTAGAAGTGGACATACGAATGGGACGAAAAGAAGGAAAATGAAAGGCGAGAAAAGGGGGGAGGGACCGAATTATAAACACCGGCGACTCCCAAAGATTCGAAGGATGGAGCAGCTGTCGAAGTGGCACATACTCCTGTTATTAATTCTGTAAACCGCTCTAAACTATCAACAAAAAGGATCCATGAAATGCAGGTTGCAGTAATCGGTTAGTGCAGGGACCGACTCCACAATGTCAACAATGCGCAAAGTTTTCCAAAGGTTTAAATGCATTTTTCCTTAATACTGTTTACATTGTACAGAAAGATGCAATTTACTTTAAGATACATTACATCAATATCCAATACCTCTACCATTTTCTCCTGTCGCTGTTGGCCAGGCAGTGCGCCATAACTTCAAGAGCGATTTTTCACCAATCGTTTCAATGTGGACGTTACTGTCTTAAACCTTGAAACGAGTAATAATGTTGTATGCATAGGTCTTTAACATGCCTTTCTTGTGCACTCGTGATTAATCGAAAATGTCGAGAAAGTGTCCAGATTAACATTTTTGTAGATGGGATTACAATTCACACACTATTTCCTTGAAATAAAGTATTTACATATAGGTCGTCATAATCTGAACTATCTTGAGGAATCAAATTTTGCATCGATTTTTTTTTTTTTTTTTTTTTGCGGGGGGGGGGGGGTCGTAGACCGAGCACGCAGATTTTTTTTTAAGACTGAGCTGCAATGTTTGCATGAACGTGCTACAACACCTACAGCGCATGACGCTTTCCTGTTTAGTGTCGTCCACACATTTAGTATTTTAATACTCCAACGTAACAGTGATGCCCATTCTCTGAAATACCCATCATTTCCCTTTATTGCTGGATATGCTCCACTAATGTATTCCGAAATTTATAAGCCCTATATATTAGGATAGTGTACTTGCCCGAAACCAACCGACCATATACTTGAACGATTCCTCCTGTTTTAGGTCGTTGGTAATAAACAAGCATTTGATGCATTTCCCTATGGCCACCTCATTTTACCTCTACCCCCACGACCTAGTGGTTTGAGTAAAAGAATGGTATAAAAAATGCAACATTTAAATACTCACGTTAGTCAGCAGCTTCCCCATTAACTTCCATTTCTCGTTGCTGGCCGGGGTGCTCAGCACAACAGCCACTGTGCATATCAGTATTGTATACAGCAACGCCACCATCGTTAATCTTTAAGGAAATTAAGTAGTCGTCAAAGCATGCCAGACAATTTATTATAACATGGTTTAAGTACAGGAGATAAACACACGCAATATTGTGAGTGAATATATATCTTCATTTTACATGGTGTTGATCTGCATGATGTAAACAAATATGTATAGAATGGACGCACCAAGCGAGGGCAAATCATCGGTACCAGATAGAATTTACGACACGAACAGTAACTGCCACAAACAGAAAAAGGTCGCACAAAGCGCCGCTCACAGCCAGTTTCAGCTCTATCCTGCCGTGGATGCGGAGGTGAAGACAATTTTTGACAGCGGAGTGTTGAGGGGCAGAGCCTTTTCATCCACCCTCCCCTAGGACAGTGCCCGAAAGGCACGCCCAGCAAACATGCGACTTACTCTTGAATCAATATGCCCTAACTTAGTGCGCCCATACTGTAAAAGTTAACTGATGATTAACAATTGCTGAAAATTACTTGAC